ATACAGCATGGTAATTGCAGTTATGTGGATGATGATGGAAAACACCACCTCAGGGCTACTGATGAAGTCATTATTCATACATATCGGAATGAATCTGAGAGCTTCTCACACTAACACCACCTAACCACTAATTCATCATGTTTAATTAATCATTGACAACCTCAGCATACACATGTCCATGAAGGAGATGTTTGTGTTTGTGTTTGTGCATGGTTAACTACAGTACTGTTGGGGAGCTATGCTGATAGCCACCGGGGTCTGGGCTAAATGTCAACATAATGACAGACACAATTATGAGATATGGAGGGAAGAATGTCAGCAAAGACATGAAATGGGTACAAATGGCTATAGAGTGAATGTGGTGATATATGGGAGCTGAGGGAATACAGCTGAGAGCGAGAGAGAGCAAGGGAGAGAGCGAGAGAGATGGATTTCTAACATAGCATGAATAAACAGGGTCAGAATTCGTTTCCTCCATGATCCTTGCATGTTTATCTGTGAACAACAATGGAATAAAGATATCAAAATGACAGAACCCCATAAAGCACCTCACACACACACACACACACACACACACACACACAAGAATTCCACTTAATTTCCTTCAGGGTGCCCGTGCTTTTGTTCAGTACAGAGGGAGGTGATATAAGAATGAACTTGGAGATATTAAACCAGCCCATATTAGACATTACAGTCTGATGACACTGACACCTCTGTCATTTTTGCTACCCTTTACATTAATCAATATTTTAATTACAGACACTATTTTCAATTTCACACACACACACACACACACACACACACACACACACACACACACACACACACACACACACACACACACACACAGGTTTCCCACATCATTTCCTGTGCAGTGAAAGTATTTTTCCATCAGTTCTGTGGGAAGGAATAATGAAAATGTGTGTGTAGATATTAACCTAGCCCATCTTAGACACCACAATGCTGCTGATACTGACATCTCTGTCATTTTTTCCATCCTCTGTGTTAATCATCTCTTTAATAACAAACAAGCTCTAATCTCTTTTATAGACTCAGCAGAATTTCCAGCCCACATCTTCCTACTCCACCTCTCCTTCATCTCAAGAGGGAAAGCCTACTGTGTGGGTTTGCCCAGTACCAAAGTTCACCTGCAGGTTCCAAAACCAGGGAAAACAAATAATCGGAGTCAGACATCATCAGTCTCCTTTTGCTCCTAAAACGACCCTGTCTTAGGTAAATCGGTTACAGTAATAGAGCACAGTGCAGCCTCTGGGACTATAGTCAGACCAACAGACTCCAGTCTATCATTGAGTCCAACTCTAATACTGCTAATAATGACTCACCATCTTGTGTGAGTCACCTGGGGTCAGTTGCCTGGCCTGTATCTCATTATGTTACACAACAGTCATGCAGACCTCTTGGCCCAGTGTGTGTGTGTCATCACCTCATAAGTGCTAATACAAAATATGCTCTGTGGGCTACATGAAGTTGAACTGATGCAGACTATTAATGGATAAATACTAAATATTCTTCTCTTTTGTTTTTCAACCAATTTATTTAGGTTTACAGTGCAGTGCCTGTTTTTAAATGCATTACATATATAAAGGTGACTTGCCTTGATTTTAAAAACTATGCCTGAAGAAACCATTAAAATATGATATGGACAAATAATGGCATAGGAGCATCCATAGGAGCATCTCTACATCTTTACCCTAATTAAAAATGTCAGCAACATGCATACAAATGCAAAATGGTAAAGCTCCCAAGCTCTGTCCAAATCCTGACTAGCTACTGTAACTGCCAGCAAATTGCCAGCTTAAGTAGTATTTCAGTATCTTGATTTTATGTTTCATATGCTCAGTGATGTATTAAACAGTTGACAAACCTGTAAGAAAATAACATTCAGAACTTTTTTGTTAATAGGTAACACTAGGTACCTAAGTCAGGTCTGTAGTCAAAGTTGTGTCTCTTCTGAATAGCAAGCATGGTCGACTGAAAAACAGCACTTACCATTAACCAGCTCATTTCATTCAAACCACACAGGACTTATGGTGTTGGTATTTGTCCGTTCATTTAATGTGTATCTTGATTGGGCAATGCTTACCTTACCCAAAAATATTTTGAAAAAAATAATTGGTTGAGAAAGTAACTACTTCATTCATGTTTATAACATCTGCTATTGTATTGCACATGTGCCTTCTCTATCACTGCTGATGATGTTTAATGGATGTGTCAGTGAATCACATGAAAGCTAGAGTAGTTTCACCAAATATAATCGCCTGACTGAAAATGATAGTACACTCTGGGCTAGAATGAAATCAGCCCTAAGCCTCTACTTCATGCCATACTGTGTACTTTTACAACCATTAGTGGTGTTGCTGTTCCTGGTTCCACAAAAGAATGAAAAACAAATCCACTTTAAGACATTTGTTAGCTACAAATAAGATGCAAAAAATCAAGGCTTATTTTTATTTATTTTTTACTGGAAAGAGAGGGAGGGTGTTTTAGCTCATTTTATACCAATTGGCAACTGAGTTGTAGCTCATTTTATACCAACTGGCCCTGAAATCAACAATCTACACAAATGAAATCAGCCATGCATGAAGAGCTAGCATTTGTAGCAACTTAAAAAATCGATTTTTGAGTTATGAGTTGAGTTGAGTTATTTATTGCAAAAATTGAACTAATGCCAGAATTAGTTGACATATTTCTCAGGATTTGTAATGAAACCCTATTTATTGAAATTTCTCAATTAATATTATAACATTCTTAATTAAAATAAGTCAGAAAGCATATTCTTTACCGTAAACAGTAGCAGTAGCCCCAATTGTTATTGGCTTGTTGCCCAGTCCATGTTACCCACTGCTGGCTTTGGACCTCCATTATTTGCCACATGCTGCTAGCACTGCTATAAGGCTAACTGGTCCCGGCACTGCAGGAGAACATTGACATAGGATCTGCTTTCCAGAGTGCTAGCAGCATGCTAATGACTTATTCGATTAATAATGCATATAGAAGCCCCCATTGGATATGCCTAATTGCCCTGATTTCTTTCTCCCAGCAGAGAGAGGACTTAAAGTGTAATTTATACCTGTGTAGACAGCCACAGTGCAGAATTTGCCAATACAAAAAGGGACACACATTTTAAGAAGGACACAAAATAAGAGATTATTCATGGATAAGGTATTGCATGCACACATGCAGAATGTGTACTCACACATATCCTGTATGTATAGAGCATAGCAGAAAGACACTGTAATGTCTATGCAGGCTTTTCTGCTCATTAAATCAGGTATTCATTTTGAATTCAGTGCCGGTATTCAAACATAAGCTTATCCATGCTCATTTATACAGTTCACTTACTTGCCGAAGCCAATTGTTTCCATTTGTATTTGCTTGCCATATAGCTACAGTGGCTTTTCCACATTTTGTAGTGTTGCCACCTCAATCTAAAATGGACTTCACTGGGATTACATGTTATGGAGAAATCAATATAGTGGGTGTCCCAAAATTCTCCATACAAAGGGGAAATGAACACGAATTCAGAAAAAAATTTTAATAGTTCATGTATTTATAATAGTTTATGTGATATATATATATATATATATATATATATATATATATATATATATATATATATATATATATATATATATATATATATATATATATATATATATATATATATATATATATATATATCCAGGGTCCAGGGTTCGATTCCCGCCGGGGCCATGTGTGTGCGGAGTTTGCATGTTCTCCCCGTACTGCGGGGGTTTCCTCCGGGTACTCCGGTTTCCTCCCCCAGTCCAAAGACATGCATGGTAGGTTGATATTGTGTCAACCTGTGTCTAAAACCTGTGTCTAAAATTGTCCATAGTGTATGAATGGGTGTGTGGGTGTGTGAGTGTGTATGTGATTGTGCCCTGCGATGGACTGGCACCGTGTCCAGGGTGTACCCTGCCTTGTGCCTGATGCCTCCTGGGATAGGCTCCAGGTTCCCCGTGACCCTGAAGAAGGAATAAGCGGTTGAAGATGGATGGATGGATGTTACCTAGCATAAGTGTTGTTAAATTATGAGTGATATAAGAACATTTTAAGACATGAAACAATGGCTTTTAGTTAGCCATTTCCTGTGGTACAGAGGTACACAGGACATATTGTAACAGGATGTTCAGAATGGCCTAACTGTGGCCCAACACTATCACACAAAAGGATCCATTAAGTGCACTGGTAAAATGGAAAATGGCCACATTAAAAGGCTGTACTATTTCAGAACTGACGATATTTGACTTAGCATTGAATAACTTGTAAAGGGCCTTACCCTTGAAAACTATCTCAAACAACAGTAAAAGTTAGAACTCTAAAGTCTAAGGAGTCTATAATGGATGAAATAAAAATAAGGGAACAGGGGCATAAAAGGAGTTGGACACTGAGCCACACAGGCACCACTGAAATAAGATCTACTGCACACACACACACACACACACACACACACACACACACAACTGAGAAACAAAGCATGAGACAGAGAGAGGTCAAACAAATCTGAATTTTTCTTACTGGAAGATCTGGACAGAGAATAAGTATAACCCATTGGCACACAAAATACACCAGAGGACCATCTATACTGACACATATAAATCAAGAGATGACATATCTCTTGTAAACAGTTAAGTTTTATGACATCAACAGCTGTGTGCGTTGACCTCATGAGAGATTGAGAGCATGAGGAAGCGTTCTTTGCAAGGACAAATGAGATGTCAAAAAGCACCTGCTCCTCTGTCTGAACCTTTCCCACCCCTCAATATATCCTAACATCTCACACAAAAGAAAAGAAAAGAAATAGATTAAAAAATTACAAATAAATATGCATTTTCAGTTCATATTCATATTGCAAATAATATTGAGTTGGACATACATGTTCCACTGATTCAGGTTTGTTTAATTTTCTTTCACTACAGTATAAAATGTACTGTGAGCTGTTAATATAATCCCAAGGCAGGGTGGTTTAATGGTGAGCACATTTGCCTCGCATTCACCACCACATTTGCCTCATTGGGGGTTCAATTCCAACCTCTGCCCTTTGTGTATAGAGCTTGCATGTCACCCCCATGCTTTGGGGGTTTTCTCTGGGTACTCCGGTTTCCTCTACCAGTCTAAAGTCACGCATTGTAGACTGATTGGCATTTTCAAATTGTTAGTAGTGTGTAAGTGTGTGCTCTGCGATGGGTTGGAACACTAAACAGGATGTCCCACATTTTATGCCCAGAGTCCCCTGAGATAGGCTCCAGGCCCTCCGTGACCCTGTTTATTATAATGGATGGATGACCATCCATCTGAATGCATACTAAATGCATTCAGAATGTTGTGTCCTGTGTGTCTTAATTTGAAAATTTAATTTTACAGTATATAGCAAATACCTAAGTCAAATGCTTGTGAGAAAATGTGTGAGAACAAGAGCTTATATATATGAATGTGTGCATTTGCATGTGTTACCACATCACTGCTCCCCATCTGTCTCGAATTGCAGCAGTAACACTATGAAACTTTCACTTTTTTCATATCACAGGTTTTATTTAGACACTCTTCTATCACAGAATTAATGTATGAAATGTTTTCATCACCCCATTTTCCATACGGTACAAAGAATTTCATATCTTATAAAACATTCAGACATATAGTGCTGGGGAAAAGTATTTGTCCTGATTTATTCTGTTTATGTGTATATCTCATACTAAATAGATATAGATCTTCAAACTAAATATAACATAAAACAAAGGCAACCTAAGTAAACACACAATCCAGTTTGTATTTATTTATTTTTTAGCTTTTTGTGGAATTCTGTGTTTGGTTTATGCCAGAAATAACGGGACCACTGTCTTCCAAACAGTTCCATTTTCGACTCATGAAGCCACAGAACATTCTACCAAAGGGTTTGAGGATCATCAAGGTGTGTTTTGGCAAACTTCAGATGAACCTTAATGTTCTTCTGGGTTTAGCAGTGGTTTTCGCCTTGCCACTCTTACATGGATGCCATTTTTGCACAGTGTCTTTCTGATAGTGGAGTCATGAACAGTGACCTTTATTGATGCAAGAGAGGCCTATAGGTCCTTTGATGTTGTCTTTTGCTCTTTTGTGACTTCCTGGATGAGTCGTGCTTTGCTTTTGGAGGAATTTTGGGAGGTCGGGAAGGTTCACTAATGTGCAAAGTTTTTCCATTTGGCTCTCACTATGGAGGGCACATGGTGGCTTAGTGGTTAGCCTCACACCTCCAGGGTCCTGGGTTCGATTCCCGCCGGGGCCGTGTGTGCGGAGTATGCATGTTCTCCCAGTGCTGCGAGGGTTTCATCTGGGTACTCCGGTTTCCTCCCCCATTCAAAAGACATGCATAGTATGGCTGATTGGCATGTCTAAATTGTCCGTAGTGTATGAATGGGTGTGTGAGTGTGTATATGATTGTGCCCTGCGATGGACTGGACTGGCACCCTGTCCAGGGTGTACCCCGCCTTGTGCCCGAAGCTTCTTGGGATAGGCTCCAGATTCCCTGCGGATGTGGTTCTTTGGAGTCCCAGAGCCTTTGAAATAGCTTTGTAACCCTTCCCAGACTGATGTATTTCAATCGCCTTCTTCCTCATAATTTCTGGAATTTCTTTACATTTTGGCAGTGTGTCACTGGATAAGACCTTTTAACCGACTTTATGCTGTTGAAAAAATTCTATTTAAGTGTTGAATTGATTGAACAGGGTTTGCCGTAATTTGTAACTATGGGGGAAAATACATTTTCACACAGGCCCAGTTGGTATTGTATAAGTTCTTTGCTTCAATAATTAAGGTAGCATTGTATTATACTTTAACTGAGCCCCCTATTACTATACTGTCACGACACTGCCACACCTTGCTTGCTCAATCTAATCTGTGCGTGCAAACACACACACACACACACACACACACTTTGCTGATGAGGCAGAGGTGGCAGTAGGAAGAAGGATGTGTCATGCAGAGGGGAGGGTGAAGGTGCTAAATCACAGCTGTTGCATTGCGCTCAGGGGAGCTTATGGCTGAAGCTCTCATCACAGGAACATGGCCATTCATTTCCCCTTCCTAAGACCCAATCGCAACAGGACACACACACACGCAACACACACGCACCAACACACACACCTAATACTGTGATTTGTGTTTCAAAACATAAACTTAAACCCTCATTAATTTCATGCTGCCTGACCAAGCCTACTCTTAAATAAATAAATGTTTTTCCTCCATTTCATATGTTCCTGCTTATGTTTAAGCAACCGTATTCCTCTGAGCAAGCAAGAAACAGACAAAAACAGGACTCTATAAATCTTCATTATGTCGTATAGGAATACTGTCCACATTCAATTACAAGCACACAGCTATTGAAAACCTTGATCCAATCTCATCTAAACGTGTGCTTGTCTGTTTTATTATTGTAATCAATATTAATCAACAATTCAAAAATGTTGTGGGCCATGAAATGCTTGGAAAAAAACAAACAACAACTAATCTATCTGGAATTCATTAAATTGAAATCAACAGACAATGAATAGCTCAACCACAAGCATGCTGTGAATCAAACCCAGAATTCCTCATGCTGTGTAAGTTTGTTCTTTCTACAAATGGTGTTTGTCCTCATGTGGTTTTCCCTTTAGTCAGGATGTTGGTCCTGCTGGGAGATACTGTTCAGGTCTGATGGAGTTGTGGTTCTCTTGACCAAGTCATATTCATCACAGTAAAGCTCTGTTTTTTATTTTATCCCCTTCCATTATTGCTTTGTGTGTGTTTGTGAATAGTTCTTATGAGGCATCTACAAGGCAGGGTCTTGTATTAATGGGAAAATCATCACTGAGAGTAATAATGTAAGAAAAATCTTTAAAACTTGCCCTGCAGCATCGTGCCTATGGCTAAATCAGAGCTGGGCTGATTTTCAGTATAACTGCAGTATATATGTAAAAAAAAAAAAAAAAAAAAAAGTATATATGACTGCGAGTGCGATATTGCTTCTAGACAACAGTTCTATAAACAAAAAAAAATGTATAGAGAGTAAGTGGCATTTTGGACACCACATGGCCAACAGAAATAGATCCCAAAGTATCAATACTTACTTTATGGCATGTTGGTTTTGTACCTTCCCGTTAGAGGTACTACTGTTAAAATTGCCGTCCCTTATTCCTTTTCATCTTCATTAGACGAGCTTTCAAAAGTTAAGTCAAAACTAATATTCCTAAAAAGCACTGATTGCCATGTCCACTAATGATGTCACTAACACTACTATAGTAACAGTTGAGAACTAGGAAGTGTAAATTTACATGACAAAACAAGCACTGATGAGCGGACTGATGCACACAGTGAAACGTCCATTTGCGTATATAGGAAAGATTCTTGGAATGCCGCTCGATTTGTCAAATTAGTGGACTAATGAGTAACTCCTGTATTACATGTAGCATGTCTGATATTTATAATTCATATCTACTTGGTCTAATCTTTGTATTGTACATTTGAACAATTTTAACAAAGAGTGGTCATTTCATAGATTGTATAGCTTCAAAGAAATTCAAGTGTCATATATGGAGGAAACCAGGCAAAACTCATCAACTGGCATCCATACCATCCCTACAGTGAAGCATGGTGATGGCAGAATCATTCTGTGGGGATGTTGCTCAGCAGCAGGAACTGGGAAAGATGAATGAAGCAATGTACAGAGACATCCTTGATGAAAACCTGCTCCAGAGCGCTCTGGGTGTCAGACTGGGGTGAAGGTTCCTCTTTCAACAGGGCAACGACCCTAAGCACACAGCCAAGATAACAAAGGTGTGGCTACAGGACAACTCTGTGAATGTCTTTGAGTGGCCCAGCCAGAGCCCAGACTTGAACTCAATTGAACATCTCTGGAGAGATATGAAAATGGCTGTTTTTCTAGAAATGGTACATTTCCTCAGTTTAAATATTTAATATGTTTTCTATGTTTTCTATATATTGTGAATAAACAAATGTAGAATATAATGTTTCCATAAGCATCAATGTAACTGAAGGTCAGTGCTGGTTAGCTGAGTAATTGTTGTACTTCAGTATACTGTCACTGAGCTAACAGTAAACAGACAATTACTAGGTACAGTAAGCAATTGGTGCACCTTTGTTGTGCATGAGAAGCAGTGTTTGAAGCCACATCCAAGCAATCAGACATGCTGAACTAACAGACACACATGCACACACATACACACAGAAAATGACTAGTTAGCTCCCTTTGAAGTGTCTTTCTGGCCTTTCTCTCTTTTTCCACTCTCTGTCATCCCTATTTTCACTCTTTTATCCCCCCAGTCTTGGTACACATGTAAGCCTGGGCTGTTGGACTCTGGATGACAGAGAGAGAGGAGGGAGAGGAGTTGTGCCTATCAAAATGTTCTCCACAGGCTCATTTGAAAGTGAGTCTTGTTTACTTTTCCCCATCGCTTCTAAAATATCTTGTTTTAACTCACAAACTCTGCCACACTTGAGGGGAAGGAGGAGTGACAGGAAATGAACACGTTTGCTATGTGGAATGTGTTTATATGAAATATAGCTGAGGACCATTACTGCTTGACAGTTATGACTTGAAATGTTTGAAATATGCAAGATGAAAAATTCATTTTCCATTCTGTTTTCAGTATCATGGGTGCCTATGGCCCAGGTGGTAAAGCAGGTTGTCCACTAATTGTAGGATTGGTGGTTCAATTCCTGGCCTACATGACTCCACATGCTGAAGTGTCCTTAGGCAAGACACTGAACCACAAGTTGCTCCCAATGACAAGTTAGCGCCTTGCATGGCAGCTCTGCTACCATTGGTGAGTGTGAGTAGGTGAATGAGAACCAGTGTATAACCACTATATAAATTACCATTCACCTCATTTCTCTTTCTCTCTCTCTCTCTCTCTCTCTCTCACACAGACAGATGGCTAGGACTAAGTCAGTGTAACTCAAGGCTCCAGGAGCAGGATAAAAACATCTTCAAGAATTTGCTGACTGTGCATCTCCTGCCCCATTATGCATGGTTTGTATTAGAGGCAGGGCGAATGATAATGGAGAAA